CAGTTGTGGGTCAAAAGAAGGGATTGGGTAGTTTAATTTGTTTTTATAGAATCAGCGTTTTATTTCTCCCTCCTTAGAGTCACGTTTTCTCTCAACACGATGACGATTTTATGAAACTGAAGGTGAAACTTTGGACTAAGAAGAGGTGCAAGTATATAAGGTCAAGGGTGTTTTTGACATAATAGAACGAATAGTTGTTTCCAAAGAGTTCAAGTTTATGAACATTTAAGCTCTACTATATTTTGTTTCAACCCTTGGTTACAGAGCGGATGATCAAATTGTTTTCAAAGACGGCATCTTGGTTAATTCAGGGTAAATTATTTGTTGGTTCGCTGTGAAATGTGGAGTATGAGTGAAGCGATAAACTCGGGTATTGGAAGTAATATTATGCCTTTTAAAATCAACTCAGGTTTAAGTTTTATAAATCTGGAGATAATTGATATCCCACGTGATATTTGATCACATTAATAATTAATACACATATTCTATTAATTGTTGATATTACCGTTATTCGGAAATTCTTTTGTTTTTGTGATGGATAAATTAAATGATTTCAGATAAAGCTATCGCTATCACCAGAACAGCGGTATCACTAACTACAGCTATGCGGTACTAGCCGCGCGGCCTGACTCACAACTTCTGATTATTACCTGTAATATATAATTCTCCTCAAACTTGAAATGGAACAGGAATTCTAGGGCCGCATTGTGTATTTACATTGTCAACAGTAAGACAGCGCTGTAAAAACTGGTGTTCAACTTAAACATCATTGTATTGTTATTTTTGTTTAATAAACGTGTCCCAGTGTTGGTGTTTGTGTCCGGTGTCGTTGAATAGGTAATTTCACATACGAGTGATTTAATTAAACAGGCTAGGTACGAACCCTTTCATAGCGACTACAACTTACAATTTATCCGTTAATTGCAGACATGCTTACATCCATGACGACAGGTAAATAATAGTTCTCGTGGACGGGGATATGTTTTAAAACGCTCGGGAACAAGTTTTATGTAAACAGTATACTATAGCGTGTTGGTCACTCATCTTTGTATGTGTTTTTGGTTCAAGTCTGCGATCACGATGTAACTACATATCTGCCTTCGACACAGAAAACACAATTAATAAATTAAATTATTAATTATTTTTGCAAAACTATGGTAGAATAAATTAAAATTCATTTTGTAATATTATCTTTTTGTCCATAAATTCCATTACAAACATTCTAAATTTAGCTTTATCAGAATCTGTAGTCACCAGGTTGAGTTGAATTTGTTGACCGTTGTAAGCAACTAGTTATATTTTGATATATTCTTATGCACTGGCATACCAGTATAAAATGAAACTTGTACTTGATACCTTCTAAACAGTTTTCATTTGGATATGTATTTTCACGGTGTCAGTGGCTGGTCATATAGTTCTGAGATATCCAATATTTTTCTGGTTCAAGTAATGTTTTAAAATTACAATATCGGAGTTTAAGTTTTTATTAGAACATACCTCCCCGGACCACAACACATCACACACCAACATTCCAAACTCTTTCTCGTTCCAATCTCAAGCAACATGTGAATAGCATATATTACACAACCTCCCACTCTCAATATTATTGTGACACAAGACCTCCTACTTTTTCATCAATATTATACATTAATTTATATGCATGTCTAAGTATTCTATTCCCTGGCATTAAGCAGTATTTAAATCATTTGACCATTGAATTTGCAAATTTTAAACTCAGATACCTCCGCGCTCGGCCAGAACTGCTTCGTTGGTCGTATTTTGAGCAAGTCGATCCGGGAAAATTCTTATACAACTTCAGATGAACTTTCTCAGTCTGCCTGGACCCCACATTTCTGCAACATACATAATTTTTTTTTCCTATTTATACAATTCAGTAATAAAAAAGAATATAACTTAATACATGAAAACTACCCGTTCTTACACGAACAATACATTCAAAATATCCTGAGAACCCTCTATCAATCTTGATACATTATCCTCGTAATTGACTCGATATTTTCAGCATTATTCCCAAAATTACAATAATTTGCAATTTAATAAAGAGACAAATAAACCGAGTCAAGAGTATTCGTATGACGCAATATTCATTCAAAGCATTGATCCTACAATATACTGTAGGGTCTAGGGTCAAAGTGTACGACGTGGCACCAAATGACACAGGGAAATAATCTTCCAACTGTCTAGGTTATGTTTATATGTACACAACCTGTATCGTTTTACCTTGCACAGTTGCTATCACACGTAGGTCATTTTGGTTCTATACTGCAATTAAGGTAAAAACAAATAACAATCTTGTAGGGGTGGGGCGGTGGTCATCGTGCCGCTTTCTGTTTGGTATGGGACTCATCGCGACCTACACAGCGCATGTAATATACATGTTTTTTTTACATGAAATTCGAAGACGCGCTGCGCGACGACCACCTTTAAAGTTGCATTCCGGGGTTATACTTCGAAGCTTATTGATGTTCTGGGAATACCACGGACGTCATCGTGAATTGCGGGAAATGTGTCCTATAAATGTTTAAATTACAATTTCCAGTGCTATCAAACGTCTTTGTTTCCTTCGTTTAAATTTAGTGTTTGGATTTCGAATCTTGTTCGACAGATTTACTTTACGTGGGTCACAAGGTGTTCCCGGGCTAATCCTCAAAGATCCCCAACAATTTACGCGTACTCGTAGCATAAAATGTCACACAACAAACACGAACGGACCTCGATAAAGTGTCATTAAAAAAAAAACTTTAACTTTGTTGTTAGCAACCGTTTATTTTCGTTCGGAATGTGTCTGATTGTTCAAGTACCGGGCATTTGTGTTCTCGGACACCAGACGTAATATAGATTAATATTGTATCCCAATTCAACAATACCATAGAATAACCTAATATATGTTGCGACATCTTTCAAAATAAACTACTAAATATTAATAAGACATTAATAACATCTTTATTTGTAATACATCTCAAATAAATAATGGCTGTTTTTTTAAACACCACAGAAAGCGTCACAACTTATATTCGACAATCCCAGCACTAATTGGATGCCCTCTTATCTTATATAATTTATGACAAAATGCACTATATACCAGTATAAAATACAAAGGTTGGGAGGGGCAACAACGACCTTCATGGTCGGGGGGGGGAATATTGAAACAAACGCATTGTGGTAATTTTTAAAATGCCCGTGGGCCATTATCAGTGTTTCTAATTCATTGCGTTTTTACACTTGCTGTGAATAATTCTGGCCAATAAAAAACAGGCAGTTGATTTACAAAACTATTTAGTTATTGCCAGTTATCGGAATTTACTGCGCCCTACTTGAGTAAAATAAAAACAAAGCGATACTGATTGTGATCGTTGATGGCGCTTTTGATATCTCTGGAAATTATTAGCAGTTTAATATATGTTGTAGTCTGAGGGTGAACACAGGATTGTGATTGTAGGGTTATAAATTAATTAAAAAAATCACGATTTATTTATTTAATTAATTAATTAATTTATTTATTTAATTAATTAATTAATTAATTTATTTATTTATTTATTTATTTATTTATTTATTTATTTATTTATTTATTTATTTATTTATTTATTTATTTGAAGCATGAATAAAGATAAACAGAGATGAAAACAACTGAGCAAGTGGTCACATCTGACTCCGCATCGAATAAATAAACTACGATTCCGATGCGGACAAATTCGGTAACTTTCGAGAAAATTCGGTTGTTTCTAAATTTAGATGTTGGCGATGACATCAGCAAAACCTGGTCGTATAAATACGCATGCGCGATGACTCGTGACGTCATACAAGCCAGGCGAACAAGAGACAGCAACAAGCAAGATGGAGTTTCCCGATCTCGGTCAGCAGTGTTCCGATCAAACATGCAAACAACTAGGTATATCTGAGTTTTATTTACTTAAACTGATTTGCCCTGAAACTAAGAGAGACTTTGCACATCTTCGTCAAATTTGTGCTGCAAAATTCATAAAAGTTAGTGAATAATCGTGGCTTGAACTAAGTATGTGTTGATTTGGCAACTCGTATTATCCATAACCGTGTTGTTATTCACTTCCTGATTCTACCGAGGCTATGATATTAGTATTTCTAACATTTTATATTTCAAAATGGTAGCATAAATAATGAAGAAAATGTTATTTTGTCCAAAATAATTGTCTCTATTCTAAAATTGTTATTTTGTTTTGTCCTGCCATGGCATTGATCTACCGTCTAAAGGCATTGTTTTGAAGAGATATTGTTGTTGTGACTCACTGTCACTAGACAGCACATTTACTACACAGGAAGACAACGAATGACATGTCATTTCAAATTTAAAGAAGTATTTATTAATCTTGTTAAAATATTCGCCAGCCCTTTTTAAGTTTATAAATTCGAGCCCATTTAACTAAGGTTTTATGTTTCAAACATCCCAAAAAATAGGATTCAACATGTATTTTGGCAACACCATCAAGTCTGTTAAAATTGTTAAAAACTGAATGTGTCGTAAATATGCATAATTAATAAAAGCAATTTAGTACTGTTTGATAGATTGATATAAATGTTCCCTTCTGTTGTCTCACATTACTAACATCCACACTGATGAAAACAATATGGTGGAACACACTTTCAAATTTGCTATGTCATGTCATATATATATACAGATGGTGCCTAGTAACTGTATTAGGCTGAGTATCATAGAATGATATGTAATTGTGTTTCAAAAAAACAATTAATAATAATGGAGTTTTGTATTTTGTCTGATCAACATTCAGTTTTAGTTGTATGATTCCATTATTGGCAAGAGTGACCTCCAAATGTTTCTTCCAGAGTATCACTAATTATAAAACATAATAGAACATGCACATTCACTCAGGAAGATATCATTCAACATTTCTACGTGTGAAAAATATCAATGAGTGGCTCACAGATGCCATGTATTTTGTGTTGATTAATCTTGTTCAGTTCAAGAGGACTTTCTAATTTTAACCAATCTATCTCTCTTAGTATTTAAATATGTATTTATTTTTTATTGTAATAATTGAGAATGTAATTGCCAAAATATTTGTCATATTTAATTGTCCATGGGTTGTGTGGTGTAACCTTTTCACACTATCGTAATCTGGATTTGAAATCTGCCCTTTCCTACTTCATAATATTTCTATATATTCTAAATATTCCCTATGTTGATAACCAAAATTCTAATTAAAAAAATAATTGCCTTTTCCCATACATAATGCCATATTAATTAGGTTCTTACCAGATTTGCCTTTTCTGTATACTGTGTGGAAAAATACAATTTAAAGCCGTCAGCTCTGAGGATTGAGCTGAAATTTGAAATTGAAATTTGTTAAAAACCTTGAAGATTATTAATATGTTCACCATTGTGTTTCTGTGCAAATAAAGTAAGTGTGCAAAATCATGCCAGTGGTCAGTTTTAAATGACCATTATGGCCTGATTATCTTTTTACAATGTGCCTTATTTCATTACTTATAGATTTTCTACCAATGAAGTGTGATTCCTGCTCTAGGATATTCTGGTGAGTGGGTGAATTATGCATTCATACATGTATATAATATTATGAGGTGTATTGTGAAAATACTTCAAGTAGCATTGGCATATTGAATGACTCAACTGCAATTACGAGACAATACACAATTATAAACTTATACTGTAATTGTGATCTCTGTTGAAGAAGACCACATGTGAATACCTGTATGTCTATTCGCAATGTCCGTCACTATCATTAATGTGATAATTCTCAGCGTTTTTCAGTTTGTATGTTGAATGACTATAATTTAGTGTTACGGTTATGGTTCAGTGCATCACGATTTTCATGGTGGTTTACCCAATCATCCACATCTCGCAAACTTAAAATTAAACAATAATACAAATAACATTATAGGCAGTCTGTTCATCTTTTATTCCTCCTTTTATACTGTCCATGATGAATGTGGAAACACCTTTCCAATGCCCGTTTGTGACAGAAAGATGTTTTGGTGTAGATAGATGAAATGAAAGCAGTTCACAGCATTCTCTGAGAAATATGATATATTCTAAACCAAAAGGACCTACAACATTCATTTAATGCCATGATGAATGACATGGCTTTCACCAATCCCTTATTTACTAGTTTTCAGGTTTATACCCATCATATACCCGGTTGCTATTGTATTAGCAATTGTTTCTCATTCTAAATTGTCACTCTTGAACTGATTTATTTCAATTCCGTTTCAGTAAGGATCATATTACGTACTCATCACATAATTGTGAATCGTCATACAAGAAGGTAAGAGAAAAACATCAGTTCATGTCCAAGGCTATGTAACTAGATGTACATTGTCTGAATGAATGGATTTAAATTCAAGCAGAAGCTGTATCTGCAACTGAATGACAACAACCTAGTTTAGAAATCGAAGTACAGTTACAGTTACAGCAAGTCTCAGAAGTAGTGGGGCAGCCAATTTGCAAACTCACTAGCGAATTGGCTAACTGCTTTGGTATTGACGGTTGGCTTTTGAATCTCGCTGGCGCCGTCCTGTGGTCACGCCCACTCTGGGTTAATCTATATACCGCAAAAACTCCAAAATTTCGACCCCTCTAAAAATTCGGCCTCCTGATTATTTGCCGGGTTTCGGTATTTTATTTTCCTCCAAATTTTCGACTCCACTAAAATTTGCCGGCTCATTCTTATTCAAAAATTGCGACCAGTTTTGGTTTTCCCCCAAACAAAAATAAAACGATGTGAGCGTCCAACCGGGACTTTCCCCGAATGCATGAATCTGGGTTCCTGATTGACTGAGAGATTTTTATTTTATTGGTAACGAAAGTATATTCTAAACGAATTTTCAAATAAAAACGAACACAACACACATCTTCTACATAGAAGCAAATGATCATGGTTGCAAAATCCGGTCATGCTGCGTTTCTGAATTGTTGATTATTACTCAGTAGTGATTATAATAATGTACACAAAATAAATTCGTTGAATTATTATGAAATACAAATAAAAGTCAACTTAGTTTCATCGTAAGCGAATGATTCCGGTCTCGTATCCTCGGGGGCGGAGCTACCTCACGGATGTTCTACGTTGCTAAGACGCGCACCACTGTACCACGTATTTCTATGGGCTTTGTGCGCGCTGCTGTGGAACACCGGTGGAGCCGGTGAAAACTCGAGAAAACAACACAAACTCAACTTTGAAGTAATCCTGAACAACCAAATTCATATATGTTACACACGTAGGGCTAATCTTGTTACACTGTTCAGGGGACTCTCATCAACCATCGCAAAGTACCGTTTTCTGCGAGTTTTTAGTCTTTGTTTTCACCGCGAGGGTTGCCAGGCGGTAGAAAATGCCCGGATGTCCACCCCCGAGGATAAACGTTCGATGCTGTAGGATATCCGCCATGTTCTCTTAGGTCAAATAGGTCAAATCGCTAATTAACCAATCAAAAAGCTGGATGATGCCAACGTGTTCAAATTACCATAGCTTATTTAAATACGTTAATGTTAGTGAACGCAATGCGGAAGAGATTGATGTTGTAGTACAATCTTTTGGCTTGGATTTTGATGCGAAAACGGCATGATTTTTTTTTTAAATCAAAAAATTAGTTGTTTTTAAAAAATAAACTGGGCATTTGAAGAATAATTTAACATGGTTTACTGTGATAACAGCTCCTTGTCGAAACGAAGCTTACCCGTTCACGTTAGTCATGATAAAAATCATACTCTTGAATAGACGTCAATGACTACGGTAAAACTTTAAACTCTAAAAACATGTCACATTTCCAACAAAAATAATTTAAAACCGGTCGAAATTTTGGGGTTTTTACGGTAACAGTAGAAGCCGTCATGTTTTAGTTGGATGGCGATTTTGCTTTCAAATATACCAGGGAAAGTGTTCTATTTTCTTTGTGTAATGAGGTGTTTGTATACAAGGGATTATCCACGTAAAAACGAGGAATGAAGTCAAATTTTATTAGCGGTTGGTTTAATGTTACCCCAACGAATCGTTTTAATGCGAAGATTTATTTTCTCCCTGATTTGTAGGCAACTTTCTCAACTTGTCTATTTAGTTTCAATCAGTGTTCAAGATGGCTACCTTCATATAGTAAATATCGGTGGATTAATTGAATTTATCATATTATCACTTGTACGCCAGCTGACTGTGGCTATTCTCAGGCTGATCAGGGAAACTACTTTCACATTATCACGCCTCGCAAAGCAAATCATTCAGGGAATCCAAAAATGTACCAGAAATGTAAAAACATTCTATGTCTCCTAATGCAACTTGGACTCGCCCAGAGTGGATGCGACCACGAGTCGGTGCCAGCGAGATTTGAAAGCTAACTGTTTAGTCAAAACCCAAGCAGTTAGCCAATTCGCTAGCGAGTTTGCAAATTGGCTGCCCCAATACTTCTGAGACTTGCTGTAAACATAGGTTGTGTTAGACTGATATTATATTCAGAAGAATTTATTAAATTTGTGCTGGCATTGATATTTGGACTGTTCTAAAGAAAGACCAATCTAACTCAATAATCTTTACTCATTGTAGCATTTTATATCACTGTATATATATAGGATGTCCAGGTTCCAGTGTGTCCGCTGTGTAATAAACCAGTGCCTGTGAACAGAGGAGAACCACCTGATATCAAAGTATCTGAACATATAGATAGAGACTGCCAGTCAGATCCAGCTAAGAAGAAACGAAAAGCTTATGCTAATAGGTGTAATGTGAAAGGATGTAAACAGAAAGAGGTAAATTGAGTCACAAATTCAATCTCACAGATTTGAGCTTATAAATTGTCTATATTCCAAAACGCTGTGATAAAATGCAGTTTGGATTGGAATAGTGGTAAATTATGATTCCGCTTTGTACATATTATTATAGATCTCTAGTCATATAGGGAATGAAACATACATGTAGGACCATGTTGTTATATACCCTATATATAAAACATGTTTTTGAAATGCAGTCCCTCACCCCCTTGGCTATTTTCACTGAGTTTTCGTCGCAGGAGCGATTCACATCCCAAATTTTGGTTCTCTTGGCGTCTCTAATAAATACCCTATCTAACCGCTGGACTGAATTAGCTATATTATGAAAAATTCATAGAAGATTGGGCGAAAATCGGCCATTTTTGGCCTCAACGTTTTTTTGCTCGGAAACGCAAGGGCGATAAGACTCGATTTTCAAGAACGCAGGTCACACGGATCGGACGGTTTCTATTGTTTTGAGTCTGTTGTGTATCTAGAAACATAACAACTTTGTTTTTTGGTGACTATAGAACTTGCTCTGTTCCAATGAAGGATTTTGATATGCAAATTGAACAATTTTACCGGTAATAGTTCCTTATTGTAACGTCTATATAAATAGTCCTCTACTCCCCAGAATTTGACAATGGTACTAGCCCATTTCTGTTCAGCGCGTCTTTGATTGTAGCAATGTTTACGCCACTGTATGAAAACACGCACACTCGCGAATTTGACAATATTCGCTTGAGCGTTTTAGGATAGTGGGAATAGAAGCAAATAGATGGAAATGCCAGTTACGTCACTCATGAAGATTGATGATTCGATTGCTGGCCGGGATAGATGTATTTGGTGTTCATTTCTATGCAATATGTCTACATCTGCGATTCTCAATTTCGATGTGTAAAATAATATTGCTGCTTTGGACGGCGACGGCTGACAGATTGTTTTGGTTCTGCGGCTCTCTTGGCATGGGCAACTGATTTTTAGATTTCTGTTTTATTAATATTCTGACGTTTACTTGGTCGTATTTTGTGTATACCACTCAGACACTGTCAACAAGTAAGTAAACGGGCCAGGACATAGTCAACATGGGGCTCTGAAGGCTCCGAAGATAGCGTCATCGTACATTAATGAACGAAATTTACATTACAATCTCATGCTTCCAAACAATCCGATATTTATGCTGGATAACAAAGTATACAAGTACTATCTACGATATACTGCAAAATGGAAATAACATACCTATTTAACTGTTGCTGATTTTTGTACAAGATTCCAAGAACACAAAACTGACAACAATCGACACACCAGTTAGAAAAAAGATACTGTGGAACTCATTGCAAATGTAAATACAAAATAAATGTCAGTGAATACAATATTTATTAATTTGCAGCCTCCGTGGACAAGTTCACAGCCTCTAATATTGTTGTGAACTGAACTTTAAATCTCATCAGGATTTCCACGTGAAGTTACACAAATAGAAAAAAAAGCAATATTAAGGAAAATTGTGCTTTTTGTCAAGGCTATATACTAAATTCTCTTATTTTGGGGGTATTTTTGTGAGTGTACATGTATGCATTAAAATCATCAAAACCATAAATGTAATTATTATATTACAAATGTAAACAAAATTGTTGAATGATTTTGGATTTGTTGGGAAAGTAGCCGAAATGATGTGACATTGTCTAATTGGTGGTGTGAATTGCCAAGCCAGTTTATAAAATACCGGTAGTGAACACAAATTTTCGTAAATATTACTGACCACCAAAGACGCCCATCTTATTATTGTCTTATTACAATCAAAGTTTCATGACCTCATTTGGCACCAAATATGACCACACACACACAATTCTTAGTACAGGATTTGATCAATAAGACACCTGGATACACTGTAACAATCTGAAGCACCTCACCTTTGTACTCCTCTAGGATAATGCCATTTTGCTGTATTAGAGTCCTCAGCGGATAGTGACTTGTGTACTTCAAAGACCATTATTTTATATCAGCATAATCGTGTAGCAAGGTGACTAATGTATTCAAACTACGATGGTGTCCCTTTATAGTGCAATCCTATGGATTAAACAGCTTTCCCTTCAAAAAACAATTTGTGTTTACTGAAAAAAACTTGTTGTTCCCTTACAGCTCATACCGGTTATATGTGGCTCATGTCAGCTGAACTTCTGTTTAAAACATAGGCATACTACTGACCACAAATGTGAAGGCTTTCAGGGAAGGTGAGAATGAATCACTTGATTATATCGTTGGGTGTGTGGTTATTTTCCTATTCCTATTCACAGAAACAAATCATGATGACTTCAGTTACTGTAGATTACTGTATTTTATCTTGGAATCTAGTTTGTCCACTATTCACTGAAAATGTAAAGTCAGTAAAAATAAAACCCAGTGAAATTATTTTTAAATCCATGTGAAGTACAGACCATAACCCCTGTTTTCTGTTGAACATAAACAAATATGTTTGTTAATATTTAGTGTAACTGACTCAACAACCCCACTTTGGGATACTAAATCATAACATACTCACATTCAGCAATAGTTTTTGCAGCTCAATAGTATCTGATATAATTGTTGTATGCTTGGTAATTTATAATGTAAAGTAAAGTTTACATCAATTTCAGCACAAGTTATACTCTTCTTATAAGTCATTACGGTACCTCATAAAAATGGCATAGAGGGGTGAAAATAATATCATTCAAACCTACAACTGCGTTTGGTATTGTGATCATTCACATTTAAAATACAATAAATCTTTCAAAAGAATGACATATCAAAACAATATCAAAGTTGTAAACTTATTGACTTCACGCAAACTCTTTATCACTATAGGGCGCTATTTGTAGGATCAGTGTTTTACTGAGATTCACAAATTAACATGTAAAATTTTACGTAGTGAGGCATAATGTAGTTGTAGTTGAAATGGCATGCTACCAATTCAAAGTTCAGGCTGTAAATGATAAATCTGTTTTTGTTTCAAAACCTTAGGTTAAAGTCATAGTGTAGTGTAAACAATTCAAGTTTTAAGTCACGTTCCTTTCATTGTTTCAAATAAGATGAAATGTTGTCATTGTTTAATTTTAATTTTTTTTGTTTCCTTTAGTGGTAGGGGAATTAGCAAAGCTGGGTAAGTGTTTTCTCATTTTTACTGTACACATTTATTATTTTTATCTTGAGTCTTTATTACTATTTTGAATTTATAGTAGAGTTTGAATTTATAGTGGAATTACAAGATGCATAAAATAGTAATAAAAATATTGCACCAATGTGTTTGGTATCAATACTAATTATGAACGATGTAATGCATTGTATGTTTTTATAATCTAAAGATTTTTTTCCCATTCATCAGTGCTGCTGCAACTCGAAGAGTTGGTGCTAGTGGTAGTAGCAGTGGTAGCAATCCACCTAGTAATACATATAATAAAGCAAAATCAAAGCCTCAAGTAACTGCACTGAGCAACTATGGAAGGGACTTAGATAGGTAGGTACTCTACTTTACTATTAGACCTTTGGGGTTCTATCTGTATGTCCATTCATTTGTATGTACGTCTGTAGCCAAAACTGGCTTTAGTCAATCCTCGGTATCTCAAATACAGCATGCTTGTTCGATTCGGCAGTAACCATGTGATCATAGAACTCTACAGTACAAACCACATAATGCACAGTGTTTTATTCAGAATGGCAAAAGAAAATGCAGCGAACCGTCATTTTAACCATCATAGAAGTGTTGAGTATTTTTACCAAATAAAATTATAATGAATGCAGTTTTCAATGTCTTTTTGCTGTTAAATTTGTCATCTCTAATTAAACTTATGTTGTCTATGTTTACACGTCACTGGAACAAATCAACTCATCTTAATTTATGGAATATTGGTTGACCAATATATTAAATCTCAAAACCCTCAATTCTTACTACCCTCGTTTAACTGTGAATCCAAAATGGTTACCATTTGGTCATATAAACTGTTATTTTTTCGGCAAAATGTTTTTTATTCAGCATCCTGCTTTATATATGTGTCAGTTAAGATATTAGCCCCATTTATTTTTCTTTCCACCTGCAGCATATTAACTTAATATACAACTTTTATTATGTCTTAATACTACGATGAGCCTTTTTTTTTAAACTGAGTAGAAATCAGTTATAATAAGATTAACATTTGCACTTAGGTGCTCAAATACTCACTCAATACAGCCTCTAACAAATTGATACCTGATGAAACACGCTCAGAAGAACAATATTCAGTTATTCCATTGTGTTATGCAAATGTACACTATGTCAAACTTTTCCCGTAATGCAATGCACAAAACATGATGAAAATGTGCATGTTTGTATTTGAGGTGCTGAGAATTCCCCCTGTTACTTTTAGAGAGAGTGTAAAACACTACAAATTTAAACCTGTGTTTGATCCAACTATACATCCTGTTGTTGGTTGGGTAATGAGAGAGCATGGAGTGTTTGGGTTCAGATAAACAGCGCCAGAGTATTGTGCAAAAGATTCATTCAAATACAACACACAGACAATGTCGTCGACTTATTCTTCTAAAATTTTGGTAGATAAAAATACACTGTTTCTCTTTGTTCTTTTGGGGGGCAGTAGTTCATTGACCTTAAATTACAGCAAAGCAGTTTGTGATTATAAAATGCAAATTATTCTGTTGAATATTCTACTAGTACTGACATATTGTCATCAGTTGAATTCAGTGTTCTGGTTGTTATGCCAACAACATAGTTTTAACTTTGCATGACAAGTCTTTATATTTATTATCAACTTTTGTGTAGTGCATGAATGAATATACCAGGTACTGTAAAATACTTTATTTTCACTTGGAATTAATTTTCCCTATTTTTACTGTGGGAATGATTTAGTGAAAATAAAATCCAGCGTATATACTTTTTTACCTATATTTTACATTCAACTAGTGAAAAATCAGTGAAAATAAATTCCAAACAAAACACCCCAAAGGTCTTTTCAGCGAAAAATTTATTCCAGCTAAAATTGAGTATTTGACAGTAATTGTCTGTGTATATGTTTCTTTTATTCCTTGTATGTCTAGTCATGTAACCTTAAAACAGGTCTATACATCTACCAAATATCACTATAACACACATCTACAAACCAGAGTGTATAAGATTGACTGTCAGATTCCCTGAGATGATTAGGTGAAGAAGGGTGTACTGTATTAGAAGTGCATGTGCATACAATCTTTGTTAAAAGGTTAACATTAACAAATCACAGTATGGATTTGGTGTTCTTTACCCACCAATACCAACATATTTAGTGTGTTTAGTGGAGAAAATGTATATACTTTGTGATTTGCCTCATTCTTAGCGTATAAAACGTGTTTCTGGTTTTGATGCCATAATACAATTTACAAATTAATATTTTTGTACTTTTATATTGCAGAGAGCGTAGAGAAAGAGAGCAACAAAGACAAGTGCAACCCCAACCACAATCAGCATATTCATTACAAGCAGGCTTGGTAAGTCAATGTCAAAATATTCTATAACATATAGTGCCAGTACTTCAACTTAAAGTACATAACTTTACTGTAGTCAATGATCTCACTCCCACAGCTCATGCAATTCATGTGATGTAACCATTACCCATAATGCTTATAATTGCATTTTGAAATGTATCTTTGCAATATGTTGCATAAACTAGCACCAAATTGTGGCTGTGACATAGATTGAGATTGCAGCAAATCAGTATTGTGTTTATATACTGTAAAACACTTTGAAATAGCTACATGCCATTTTAGCGAATTTGACTCAATGTATGAATTAACTGATTCTTAATTTAGCTAAAATGCCAACAATCTCATTGTGAGAATATACTCTATTCTAATTAGCAACATCTTAATTTAGCGTATTGTGGATTGCATGATAATTAGCTAATTTTTAGCTGTTCTATGACTGTTCCACTGATATCTAAAGAACCACTCATTGGATTTTGATGAAACTTGGTACATAGATGCTCTGAACATATGCGCAGATTTGATTAGTTTTTGGTAAAAATCT